CATTTATCAGGTGACCTAAAAGATTCCCCAGTTTTGAGTGAACCTCAGCATCTGACGGGGGAAAAAAAAAAGTACACCATAGCTGAGTCCAACCACTATTTAAAATTCTGAAAGATTTCCTAGTGATATCATTCAGAATATGCATACATTATATGCATTTTTCCCAAGACAAAGTCTTGTACTGGTTTTCTATTCAAAACCCTCAAACACTCCATTAACAGCAAGTGCATAATCCACAGTGCTCAATGAATTTGTCTTCACCTAGCTTCATGAAATAACAGGTTTCTGGCATCAAGTAATTTTAGAAGGGAACAAGATCAGTAATGAAAATGAAGAGTTGCTTATGTGACTGACTTTGTTGTATAAAAGAGAGAATGAAAAAATGAACAAAGAAGAAAAATGTTTTCATTACAATTACAAATATGAAGGAGATCAAGTTGCTTTTCATCTTTTTTCTCATTATTTATGACTCTGTTCCCATTTATTAATGTAAAAGAGTAGCATGTTCTTTAAATAATTCCTGAGGTATGTAAATTTTAAAAAATGTTTAGTATTTAAAATCAAGTGCCTTAAAGAAAGTAATATAATAAAATGTGATCTATCTATTGCATAAGCCAAAATATGGCTTAATTAAAACAATCCACATTCATACAACTTTTTAATTTCCCATTGTCAAGGCATTTCAAATATAAAATAAACAATTGTCATATATATTTATAAAGAAGAAAAGAGTGAATATTGTAATTCTTTTGGAGGCTGAAACCACCAAAGTGCAGTGATTTTCTGCACAGCCTCAAATAATTTAAATTAATGTGAAGTGCCTTCTGATATACTTTATAAAAAGTACATTAGGCTAATATGGTATGCTATATGAAATAACTTATAATCCAATTTATGTTTGTTTTTTTTTTTTAATGTGTCAAGCACTAGACTAGGACTAGAAATTTAAAAATGGATAAATAGCCGGGCTCGGTGGCTCAGCCTGTAATCCCGCCCCTTTGAGAGGTTGAGGTGAGTGGATTGCCTGAGCCCGTAGGTTCGAGATCCGCCTGGGCAGCGAGACCTCATATCTACAATAAATCAAAAAATCAGCCGGGCGTGGTAGCACATGCCTGTAATTCCGGCTACTTGGAAGGCTGAGGTGGAAGGATCGCCGGAGCCCAGCAGGTCGAGGCTGTGGTGGCCGGGAGCGGCCACCGCACTCCAATCTGGGCGACAAAGTGAGACTCCAATTCAAAAATAAAATAAAATAAAAATGGATAAAGTAAGTAGGCTCTGCCCTTAAGGACACACTCATACACAAACACTTACATGTGTATGAGGATGAGACCCCAAAAACAGAATTATTTTTTGGAGAGAGGGCCCCTTGTAGTACAGACTTCCCCTGCTGGACAAGTGTGCTAGGAACCCATTGGCATCAGGGTACAAACTGCTATTGCTGTGAGATGCTGCATTTGGCTTCAGTGAATTTTATTTTTGAAGATTCTTTCGACGCGTTGTCCATTTCATGATTGGTGATTTATGAGTGCACCTGCCCACACCATGCTAAGTGTTCAGCAGTTTTTGACCAAAAATGGCATAATCCCTGTGCCCCACCCTCCTTAGTCTCATGATCTCTCCTTGAGCAACTTTTTTTTGTTCTTTCCCTGGATGAAAAAGTTCTCAAAGGGAAAGGTTCTGCCATTGTGGAAGAGGTGAAACAAAAGAATGGCAGAAGCTCTAAAGGACATCAAAATAGATGAGTTCAAAAACTGTTTTAGCAAGGAAAAAGTGGCTTGATAGAGGTATTGCATGAAACAAAGAGTACTGTGAAGATGATTGCAGTTTAAACACAATGGGAAATACACCATTTTTAATAAATAAATTCCTGTTTTTCTTGGATCCCTCCTCATATATATAAGGAATTATAACATAGTATGATATGCTCTTGATATAAACAAAGTACTTTGACCAAAAAAAAGTAATGGTTAACTCTGAATGATGGTTCAGAGAAGGTAATATATTTGATGAGACTTTAAAAGATGAGATAAATTTCATGAGAGAGTGAAAGAAGGTTGGAAAGATGAATTCTAGATGAGAAGAAAGTGAAGAAGCAGAGGGAACCCCTAGAGAATCATTAAATTTGGGGGGGTTTTCAAGGAAGAGGAGAAGATATTAAAACTATTAAAGAAATGAGTTATAAAGGGTAGTGAGTGATGGTCTAGGTTTATATCTTGTTAGAGCAATGTTAATTTTACTGTGAATACTAGAAATCAAAATGCCCATAAGATAAACATAATACCTGCTACATCCTTGTATTTTCAAAGTCTAGCAAGTTATATGACAACCTTTGTAACAGAAAGAAGAAATATCTTTGACAAATTATCATGAAATATTTACATGCATATTATGTTTGATGGCATTGTCTCATATTACCTGTATTGCATTTGTTTCATATCTATGCATTTTATTACATTGGCAATAAACATTTATATAAGAAGCATCAATTTTTCTAAAACAGTAGCAGTAGTCAGCATTTTATATCACTCTAAACAATCATTTTCATAGCTTCTCTTTAGGGAACTCATTTTAGGAATAGCAAAAGTTTGGGGAAATTAAAAGCAAAGATCGGTTTAGAGAAGTAAAAATTAGTGAGAAATTGCCTGGTAAATATCAGTCACATTCTACTAGCAGAGTTTAAGTGCAATAAGATCTTAACTATCCTTTTTCATTTATGGTATATTTTAAGAAGCTCACTTGAGAGCGAGGAGCTTACTACAAAACTACAAGTTTGATATTCCCACATAATAAAATAGTTTCTACTTCAGTACCCATATATAATAGCAACAATATAAAACATATAGATTTTCTTTGTAACATATATAGGTCTTTCCATATTAAATAAATTTAATAGCTTCATATTATTACTCACTAAATGATATCAAATGTTTGATTTCATATAATCAAACAGAAATTATCAATAAAAACTATTAACTGACATTCTGGGTGCTTATTCTGTATCAGACACTGTGATAAGTTCTCTGCATACGTTCTCTTATTTCTTTCAACCACCCATGGGAAGTAAGCAGTATCCTAAACTGACAACTAAGGAAACTAATCTAGAAACACAATTAACTTACCTAGGAAAATAAAAGAAAGTAATGCGGAGAAGGTAACACAGATAATATAAAGAATATCTGAAAAGACTTGAATAGAAACAGTGCTAATATCAAAGACCCAGACAGTAAATATAAGGAATCAAACAACTTTTTAAAAGACCTAATATATAAATGGACTAAAGATTTGAACATATGTTTCACCAAAAATATATGGTTGGCAAAAAGCAGTTGAAAATATACTCAGTATCATTCATTGTTATGGAGATACAAATTAAAAGAACACGGAAACACCAGTATGCACCCGTTAGAATGGCTAAAATTAAAATTTTAATTTGTAATTAAAATTAAATAATCGACAATACCAAGTGTAAGTAAAGACATAATGGAATTTTAACTTCCACACAATGTTGATGGAAATCACTTTGGAAAATAGTTTGAAAGTTTCTTAAAAAACGCATACTTATTATACCCCCCCACTCTGTTCCAGTACACTAGAAATGAAAGCATCTGACCACATAAAAACTTATACAGGAATGTCCACAACAGCTTTATTTTAATAGACAACAACTACAAACAACCAAAATGTCTATCATTGGATGAAAGCATTAACGAATTGTAGTATATCCATACAATGGAATACCACTCAGCAATAAAAGGAACTAGCAGTTGATGTAAGCTACAACATGGATGGATCTCAAAATAATTCAGCTAAGGGAAAGAAAGTGGGCAAAAAGGAAGTACATACTATTGATTCTTATTACTTATCAACATAGTGTGAAAAATTACTTATCAACATAGTGTGAAAAGCTTATTAGTGGTTGTCTGGGATGGGACAGAGACAGGAAGAAGGAAGGAATCACAAAGTACAATGGGGCATGAGGAACTTTGCAGTGAGATGAATATGTCCATTACCTTGATTTTGGTGATGGTTTCACGGATGTATACCTATGCCAAGCCCTATCAAATTGTACATTTTACGTATCTGCAGTTTACTGTATGTCAATCACACAATCAATAACAATGGTTATCTCTGAGTAAAGGAAGTATCAGGGATTTGTTTTGAACTTTCATCTGTGAGAGCATACTTATTTCCTCAATACTCTACAACAATTAAACATATAGTCTTTTAAGACTGAATCCTATTTAAAGTTTAATTCTTCAAAATCTGTCCTTTAAAAAAAATGTATCTTTGCATTAACAAAACGAGGGAGAGTAACATCAAGTTTAGAACCAGTTTATACGTATTCCCCCTACCATCTCTACAGTATCCCATTTCTTTCACAATTAAGATAAATTGTACATTTAAAAATAAAATACGAATGTGTTTTAAAAGAAACAAATCTAAAATTTGTACACTATGCTGCAATTATTTCCATACTTAATAATGTTAATATAAGCAGTTAGTCAATTTATAAGCACCCGCTTTGGATGTAGACCCTTAATCTCACAGATACATTGATGGTGACTTGTTTTTTTTAAGCCCTTTTTACTGCCTTGCCCCCGCTCCCCGCAAATCTGCAGTGTACGGTGTTCCCCCCCCCCGAAAAGTTCAGAGGAAAGGCGAGTACAGTTTGGTCCCTTCTTTGGCAAGTCACAGTGCCTACTCTTGACAGCACTTTTAGCTGAGGGGAAGTAAATGACAAACGCTTCTAAGCAGAAATCTTGCGTGGACGGCGGGGCGAATGTGGGGATGACAGGAATGGTGAGCTGGCACGGGTTGGCCTTCCCGGAGCTGCCCAGGCCGCTCTCAGCGTGGAACTCCGCGCCTCTGGAATGAACGGGTCCTGTGATGCAGTCACCGTCACTTAGGGCTACGGTCTGATTCAGCCCTGCCGCCCTAGCGCCTCGCCGGGCGCTGTGCAGCCCTGGCCTCAGTTTCCCCACTTGCGCAGAGGAGGAGCCATGCTGTCCTGTTTCTGGTTCCTCTCCAAGCGCATCAGCCCTTCGCTGGTATCTTTGCACTGCACGTGCCGCGGCTCTGAGCTCCGTAGGCGCTGGGCCCCTGGGCGCCCCCCGGATCCCCTACTGGTCGCCCCCAGCCGCCCGCTGGCCGCAGCTGCCTCCTCCCAGGGCCCTCCCAGATCCACCGCCTCCGGCTCTCGGGTGCGCCAGAACTTCCACCCGGACTCCGAGGCCGCCATCAACCGCCAGATCAACCTGGAGCTCTATGCGTCCTACGTGTACCTGTCCATGGCCCATTACTTCTCCCGAGATGACGTGGCTTTGAACAACTTCGCCAGGTATTTCCTTCGCCAGGCCCGGGAGGAGACAGAGCACGCGGAGAAGCTGATGAGGCTGCAGAACCAGCGAGGAGGCCGGATCTGCCTGCGGGACATCAAGAAACCGGACCAGGACGACTGGGAAAGCGGGCTGCATGCCATGGAGTGTGCTCTGCTCTTGGAAAAGAATGTGAACCAGTCCTTGCTGGAATTACACACTCTGGCCTCGGACAAAGGTGACCCCCACTTGTGCAACTTCCTGGAAACCTACTACCTGAATGAGCAGGTGAAGTCTATCAAAGAATTAGGTGACCACGTGCACAATTTAGTTAAGATGGGGGCCCCGGATTCTGGCCTGGCGGAGTACCTTTTTGACAAGCATACGCTTGGAAATGAAAACAAGCAGAACTAATCAGCAGGCCGCCTTCCCCACAGTCCTCTGGGTCCCAAGGCCAGGAATCAGCTGTCTCCTGCTTTCTTGCACCAAAAATTCACCTCCGTCTTTGTATTTTTATATTCTTCTGTTATATTCTTCTTCCAGTGAAATAATTTGTAGAAAGAATATGTTTAACCCCATATTTAGCAAGGTCTTTCTGCCAATATAAAGATACTTATTTTCCCAGCTTTAAGATAGCCCAGGTTAGTATGAAAAGGACATAAAAGAAAACAAACAACAAAAAAAATCAAAAGTAGGTGCAAACTAACTTTCTCCAGTTACCAAACATTATTTCAGACCATGAACCACTGCTAAAATCCCATGATTCTTAGTTCAACAAGTGCCTGCTATTTTCAGCACCTTATGCAAAAAGCTAAAGGAGAGAATGGATACAAAATATGCAAATAACTATGTGAAGAATATAAACATATATAATAACACTGTGAAGATCATACATGCAAAATTCTATGACAACTTTTACCTCTTCTAAAGAAACAGTACTCTCTGGAGATTATGTTTTTTAAAAGGTTTTGTAGTCAAATTCAGAGGAAGCTACATGAGTTTTCAGTGCTGCCCTTGAAAAGTCACAGCATGTATTAACATTTTAAGGGTTCTGGGAAATCTTGCAATTAAAAAGAAATTTTAAAAGCTTGAATAATTTTTGATGAGCTCAGTGTTTCCCAAACATATGCAATGCCAGTGCTGTTTTATTTTGCTTTTAATGATGTTAATATAACAAAGCAAGTCTGATTCCAGCTATATCTACTTTACCACTAAGCCATATAGCCTCGTTTTTAACATACTGAGAAGCATGAAAACTCTGCATAAAACACCTTTCTATGGTCTTTTAAATGGAGAAAAAACTACATTGGGATGGAAAACGTCCAGAAGGTAACCAGAATAGAGGATACATCTAGCCAGGTAGATGTTTCTTTAGGGAGGATAGGAGTGAGATGAGTAGGAGAATGGTGAGTGGGCATTGGACTAGACTAGAGTACTGAGTGGTAGCTAGAAAGGTGGGCTGGAGCAGAGCATAGAGGTAAGAAGGATGAGTCTGGACTTAATTCAGTGCACAAGACTAAGGTCTCCAAGAGCTCCAGCAGAAGAATGCTGTGCTCAAAGTTGAGGAATTAGGAATTTAATCTGGTTGTGCAGAATAGGAATCTGAAAACAACCTAGGTGTCTGTGTTAGTTTGGGTCCTCTAAGACAATGATACCCACTTGTGTACAAGAAATCAGGGGAAACTGAAAGTACCCTGAAAGAAAGTAGGAAAGGAGCTGGGAGAATTAGGGAAAGCCTTTAGACTTCATACAAGTCTGATCCCCAAGGAAGAAAGAAAAGAAAGTGGTACATAGTTCTTTGGAAAGGTCTGCAAGGCTGTCAGGGAGACCTCAAGCCAATGTCACCAGTTAGAGGAATCCCGTCTCCCAGAAATGTACCTTTCCTGTATTTAGCTATTGACTAGGAAGTATGAACTTACAACAAACTAGGTAATGAATCCATTTCAGAGCACTGGCACTGGGATCCTTGGCAAATTATGCTCCCTGCGATCCAAGACCTGAGAGGTACATGCATATTACCGTACAAATTCAACAAAACAGTTCAGGTTAAAACACCATACATGGAACAACACTCTACAGCTATTGTTAAAAACGATTTTGTCAAACACCTTATGGTGTGGAAGAGATATACAACATGTTATCTTAAAAACAAGCAATACTGCAAGACAGGGTTACATTATATAATTCCATTATATAATTATAAGGAAAATTCCATATGTATGCAAAAACTAGACAAATATATACCAACAAGTGAGGCTAGAGAATCTCTTAACTAGTGAGATTGTGGTTGATATTTATTTTCTTTAATTACTTGTCTTTTTAAAATAAATTTCTTATCATGGACAGTCATTATTATCATAAGAAAAGGAAAACAAAATATAAGATAGAGAGAAAACCAATAAAGACCTGAATTAGGGTAAAAACAAATGGAAATAGAAACGGAGATGACAGTTAGGGTTTGGAGGTAGAATCATTCAAATTTTGCAATCAATTGAATGGCCAGGGGTTAAAGTAACGGGGTACAGGAGGAACACTGATAGGAGTCAAATTGGAGTTAATGGAGAAGAGAGGATTTGAGAATAAAACCTCAGCAGGAGGATTAATTGGAGGTGGGTAATGCATAATGATCTTGGTTTTGATTATGCTAATCAGTCTCACTTTATATTCTGTTTTTAAGTGGGCCTATTTTGCTGCACAGGAATCCTATTGCATTTCTGTAGAAAATTTCCTCTCAATCTTTCTAGATGAGTGTTTTTCAAGCTACACATTGCAACCCATTAGTATGTCACAAAATTATTTAGTGAGTCACTATCCACCTTTTGTGAATAGAAAAGAATTGAATTGAAGTGAAAGTAAGTGAAAAGTGTAAGTTCCTGAAACTCTCGTTTAAGGTATGTGTGTGTATGAGAGAGAGAGATAGAGAGAGAGAGAGAGAGAGAGAGATCTCATCCAGTTCAGTGGCTTTTATTATATATATTTGTTAACAAATCACATGTTTATATAGCTTGGCAAAGCTTACCTTTGAACTCCAGATTTATATATACATAATTGATATTTGACCTCACATGTCTAGTAGACATCTCATATTTCACATGTTCAAAATCATACTCTTGATTTCACCACTCTCCAAAACCTATTCATCCCAGTCTTTCTACTAGTTTCTATGGTCCAGTTATTTTTACTAGTTGCTGTATTTCATATAGTCTTTCAGAAAATTCTTTCAGGCCTTCCTCCAAAATAGATCCTGAGTCTTACCAGTTCTTACAACCTTCATCATTGCCATTTTGCTGCAAGCTCTCACCTTTCCCTTCATTATTATGTTTATGTCACACTCTTAACAGGCCTGGCTGCATCCACATCTGAGCACATACAATCATTTCTTCACAAAACAGCTAAAGTGTTTCTTTTTAAGTATAAGTCAGATCTTGTTGCTTCTCTGTTGAAAACTCCTTAATGGCTTCTCCTCTAATTTGGAGGAAAAGTCAAGGTCAAGGTCTTTACCATGCCCATAAAGCCCTCTTGTTATCTGATATCTCCTTGACCTGGTACTTCTATGTGTATTCGTGTGTGTGTGTGTGTGTGTGTGTGTGTGTGTGTGTGTGTGTGTGTGTGCACGCGCACGCGCGCACGCGCACGCGCAAGAGGTAGTAAAATTGTAATATTATATATGTATATAAAATTTAAAATTTTATGTCTGTGCATATGTGTTAATAGTGAGGTCAAAGCGGTATCACTATGTCTCTTTTTCCCTTTCTTTCTCTCTCTTTCTCCCCACCCCCAACACTGAGCGCATCTATGTTATCTTTTATATTGAGAAAGATTGAGAGAGGGAGACGCGGGGGAGAGCATGTTTTAAGCTGACTATACTGCCATCACCTCTGTCCTCTGCATCTTAGGATCTGTTCCCTCCTTGGAAACACTTTGTCCCCAAGCACAAACATGGTTTGCACTCCCACTTTCTACAGATTTCTAATTTAGTGCCATTGTTCAGAGCGACTTCACAATCAGTTTAAATTAGTCACTAATTTTTCCCTCATTTCTGTTGTCTTACTTGATTTATTTTTTCCCATAGCACTTACCACCACCTGACACATTTTAAATTTACTTATGCTTTCTTCTCGCACAAGAATGTAAGCTCTGTAAGGCAGGGCCTTTGTTTTGTTCAATGCTGTTTCTACAGCTCTAGAGCAGCGCCTACCCCGTAGTAGGTTTCGCAATGAATATAAATGAATGAGTGGAGTGAATGAGTGAGTGAGTGAATAGATGGCGCTATCTAGCAACCTGTTAGAAGTGCTGATGCTGATCTTTCAAAAAGTTGGTATCAGAAAAGAGAATGTGGCAGTTACTCATATCGAGATGATAAGTAAAACTGTGAAGACGCTAAACTGACAAAGGAAGCAGGAGACAAAGAGAGACAGAAGAAAGGGGCCCAAATATAGAAACTTGGAAAATTAGAAGCTTGGAAAACTAGCTCTAGATCTGTGGGAGATTAGAGAATCTATGAAAGGATGCTGAAAAGGGACAGTACAAAATCAAGACTAAAAACCCCACAGGTATTGGAAGACGTGAGAGGAAAGAATTTCCATCTAATGCTGCAACACTTAATGAGGTTATGGATTCATCAGAGTTGGCAATCAGTCAGTCATTGGTTACCTCAGAATAGTGGCTTCAGGAGTATTGGTAAGGCAAATGAGGTGGAGAATATAGTATTCACTTTTGAGAAAAGTTTCTTTTTCAGTAATTAAAGGGGCAAGAGGGTAAGGATGGCTGTGCACATTGTCAGACTGAGGAAAAAAATACAGTAAAAAAGAGAGATTTGGGAGGCAAGTGACAGAACAAAATTCCAGGGAAGAAGGGAACACAAAGTAAACAGCCCAGGTACAGGACACACTTGGAAGAACATGTCCTCCCCAACGAGCATGCATCAAAGAGGGCCGAAGTGGCACAGACTTAAAATAAGGAAGCAAATCGAGGTTGCTTACATTGGCTGAATTCAAACTTCTAAATAAAGTAGCAAATGAGATCACAACTAAGATATGACTGTCTCTATACAGAAATGTTTTAGTTATTTTTAGTTATCAGACATTTTTACAAAAGTCAGTGCATGTAAGTTATTTTACAGATAAAAAATAAGTATTTACCCTATGTCTAATAATTTTCAAAAGACTGCAGCTTTCACAATAGAAAACACGTGCCTGGAATGGAGCCAAATAGAGAGCAGATTTCTAAACAAAAGCCTAGTTACAGAAAGAAATGACCCCAAACCCCTAAATGTCATGAGAGATTGTATTACTCTTCAACACAAAGACCTAGCAATGCCAGGACCCAGTGCCTTCAGACGTACAGGCAAATATATAGCATATTCCCCAATGCTAGTAGTTCTTGAAAATCATCATTCTTCACATTCAATTGTTAATCAGGTTTTGTGCAGTTCATCTAGAAGGGTAGAAGTTCCTTAGAGAAGTACTTAATATGTATGTCAAGATCTCCCAGAACAGAGATTGTGTGTGTGTGTGTGTGTGTGTGTGTGTGTGAGTTGACTTTTTAAAAATTTGAACTTC